TCCGTGCTCCAGGATAAGCTCCTCGTCTGCCTGGACGCTATTCGGCACCATTTCCACTGCTTCTAACCATTCGACTGCCAAATGCGCGGTGAAGGCCTGGATCTTCCGGGCAGCGTAGATGTACATGTGACTCAGCTACGGATCTCGCATCACAGCTGATGTTGTGCTCCGGAACACCGAGACACCAAGTCGCGAACTTTCCAACTGGGACGAACTTGCAGTTGAAGTTCGTGACAGGTGTCCAGTTGATCTGAACCTGACTTAACAGTCACAGGCAGGGTTGAGGGAGGGCCGCCCCATGTCCCGAAGACTCAGCTCTGAGCATCTGGAAGCTCAATAGACTGCTGGTAGAGCATGCCATATCCCAGTGGAACCTTACGGGGAAGGCATTGTCAAAGCCACAGCAAAGTCCCGCATCGCCCTGCTGCAAGGAGGCATAGGACTTCACTCGACCTGTTTTGCCCGTGTAACTCGCATCCTGCCGGTAACAGGTCACAATGTGAACCCCACTGCGGACATTTTGCATACATGATCTTCCAATGAGTCGATCATCTGTGCGCATCCTCATCTGCAGGTGTCTCCACAATGTTCATCCGGAGCTGGAAGCTCGCCTTAGTGCGGAGCCGATAATCGAAATGACGCTTCCAATTTCGTGGCTCAAGCACTGTAAGGGGACTGTGACGAATTTGCAGTTTTCGTCTCGCAATGGTAGTGCTTACAAACGTGGCAGCCGAGTCACAATGCATGTTTCCAGATCCACCTCGCGCAGCAATCCAGGCCACAACAGTGCCCGTTGACGATGGTTTTGCTTGCTGCAGGCCCTTGGGCCCCAGCCTCTGCAAGGGGACAAACCTGTGTGAGGCCATGGAAGCAAGAGCCATGAAAGTGGGGTGCATGCAGGGAGCACGCAACGAGCTAAACCTTAAGCAAAACGTCCCAAAACCCAGAACATCAATGCCACGTCTGCTTGGCTCGCGTACGATGTGTGCGGAGAGCGCAGCCAGTCAAAAGCCGGTGCCGGCCACTACGGAGTTAGCAGGTAGCTGGTCGTGTTGGGGACATCTGGGCCCGAGAAACGAGGGAAAGCCAGGTGGCGAAGCTGACTGTGCAGGAGCTGGGTGTGACTGGATTAGGGTGTGACTGGATTATTGGCACTCTTGCCTCGATGAGCTCATGGGCTTCAAACGGCCGTGCTGCAAAGACTCGCCAGTGTCCACTGCGTGCCTTGCGGATTACATCTGCCAACTGCCAAGATGTGGTGGCAGTGGGCATTGAGCGGCCTGGCCTCCTCTGCAGGCTGCTCCCAGCCTGACTTCACGTAGCCGGCTGACCTGACTGCAAACGCACTGTAAGCCCCTGCATCATCCTAAATCGGTTGACTGAAGGCCTAGGCCCGGGACAAGGTGAGGCAACCCTGTGGCCAGTACTCTTCGCCCTCCGCTAGTGGAACCCATCGAGCCTGGACGGCCAGTTTGCACAACATACACCCGCCATCGGCTTGTCCAGCCTCGAGGCCCCAGAAGGCATTCACACATCGGGTGCCTTCCGGCAGCAATTGCTTTTTCCTTGCGCAAGGAAGGCCAACCACGTTATAGATTTCGCAGCAGCTGCCACCAGCTCGACTGAGACTTTCACCCCGGAGGGACACGGCCGGCACTCAGGTACCTGCGAGCATATGCGACTATGGCCCCTGATCTGCCACACAGGCAACGCGCAGGGCGCACTGCAGGGCACGCTCAGTCCTATGGCAAATGGAAGCAGAGACAGGCGTGATTGAAAGAGCCCGTCACTACCAGTCCTGTCTCTTAACCTGGATGTAACATGATCGCTGATTTTCCACACGCGCCTCCAAGTATTCACCGGAAAACGACATGACATGACAGACAAGAACTGCCGCAGGCTTCGCGCCTGAAGAGATCCTTCGTGAACTCCTCACGACACGCAAGCAGATGCTCTGAACGAGAGCCTGTTACATCGATCTCACTTTCCGATCAAGCCAGCATGCCCTTCTTGGGAATCGGGATGGATTACTTCCAAAACAGCTTCAATCCACGAGTCCTTCTCATGCTCTTCCGGATCTTCAATCTCATCTAGCAAAGTCTCCTGCAGAAGCCAATGAAGTCGACAGGTCTGGATCTGCACCGCAAAGCATTTTGCAAAAGCCAACTGGTCGGTAACTGAAGTGTTGATTTATCCTCGTGCCACGGCACTTGACGACTCTTGTCCGTTCTCAAGTAGCAACAAGTCTTCGATTCTGCCGTTTGCGACATGTGCTGAAATGGACGAGAACGACATGCAGTGCAACAAGTCATGTGCATGTCTTGTCCTCTGCAGTCTCGGCCAACATCCAACCCTCCCACCTTTCGGGGCCAAGCCATGCTAGAACAATTGCGACCTGTTCCGAAAGTTCGTGTTCACACATGTGAGGGATGGGCTGCTGCCACTTGTGGAAATTGACAGGACTACGTCTGCTCGGCTGAGTCCTGCAGTTGTGCAATCATGAACCCACACCCAAAATCGCAAAATGAACAGGTTCATGCACAATGCCGCAACCACAATCACAATTAGGAACAGACCAATCACAACTTGGGCTCGTGCTGGAGCACTAGACAGGCAAATGACTCCAAACTGTATTCTCTCAACTGATGCTGTAGTCCCCAGCTATGATTCTTCAGCTTAATTCCGAGGTAGACGCAGTGTAGGTTCAAGTAAAGATGCAGTCATTTGTGACTACCTGGGTTCCCGGTCACTTGTGACCACGTAGGCGCTTACTTCCCAGCTCGAATGAGTCCACGCGAATCAGTACACAAGATACACATTAGTCAACTGCCTTGGACAGGGGAGGGTTGGGTGTCAGGGAATAATGCAAGCGGTCCAATATACAACTTCAGCACTGATATGTGGACAAGCTCAGTGTCTGAAGTGGGGGATAAAAGCTCCAACAAACAGCTGCAAGATCCGCACCGCAGCCAGCCAGACACTCCAACATGAGCCCATCGTACGAAGCTGCACGGAGTTTACCCACTGCAAGCACGATGGGCTGGGTCCAGAACCAGTCTCGAGCCAGAACCAAGTAGTCACAACTGACGCGGGTCCGGTTGTCACAAATGACCGCTATTTCCGGTATCCCTCGATCTCCGCTTACACGAGCAACATGACAGAAAAGTGTTGGCAGCCTGTCTGAGATCTAACACGGCCCGGCCTCTCCTCAACCTGTGCAGACACTGTGAAGGGTCAAGTGTCCACGACTGAGGCTCGAGTCTGCGCCTGTGCTTCAGTGTCTGCGGCAAGCCGCAACCACGCACCACGAAAGTCGATGACCCGGATCACCTTCTGTGCATGTTGAGTCGCTTTGCACCTGTATCAGCCTTATATCGGTAAAAGGGCCCAGCCTCCCCTTGTAACCGATGACCGATCAGGGCGCTGCTTTCGTCTGGTTGATTGTAGACCTCCCCAAACCCAAAAGTCGGGAGTCTGACATCGGCTTGAATCTTGTGGCGTCTAGGGTTGCGGCCGGCTGCTCGTCTTTTCCCAACACTTTGAAGAAAAAGGCCGTCTCCACAGGGGGTAGCGGATCTGGTCCTTGCGGTAAACTTGGCAAGTCTTTGAGAATTGATGCGAAAGTCTTACACTTTGGACCCTGGCTTTTCACCACTGGAGCATTGCTTCCGTAGATACTGGCCTGAGATCTCAAGCTGAGCTCTCCAGTCTAGGCAGCCTGAGTTGCCTAACAAAAAGCGCCAAACATCTGGCCCGACACATGCTAATGCCGAATAACGGGCCTCCCAGCCTGACACAAAATGACCACACCGGTGGGGATACCACAGTGGTTTTACGAAGCGCTGCCGTGAAGAAGGATGTCGACTTGTTGCAGACAACAACATAGGAAGAATCTGCAAACTTCCAAGGGACAGGTGGCTGTCCTCGATGCCGCCCAAGGCAACCCACTCCGTGGGCAGAGCTTTCCAACCCGGGCTTACCCGGGCCCACGTACGGACCACCCTTCCTGCAATACTTCAATGCCATACCCGTTTCGTGGTTGTGCAGACTTCTTCATGGTGCGGAGGGTGGAAAAACAGAGTTAATGACAGCAGATGTCAGGCAGTCACGTGGATTCGCAGCGAAAATGTGTTCGGACGAAAAATGCAAATGCAGACGCAGGTTTCAGCGGCAACGACCGAACAGCGACAGGATCGGGCACAAGTGCTCTCTTCCGAGAGCTGCACCCAACCATCTGACGGATATGCAGAAGGCTCCTGCAACCGCTCGCGAGGCAAGGTCATGCAGTTGCTGATACTGCATGAAGGAAGCACTCACGGGCACGTGTCTCCGATTTCTCTATGTTCTGCGCAGCAAAGTGTACGGCACCCGTGGGCTGGGTCCCGATTTGGTTGTCGAGGTGGTGGATACATCGCATCTGGACCTGACAGCGCAACACGGAGCAACTGCGACAATACAACAATAAAACCCAGTCCGAGCCGGTGCAGAAAAATCTTGCTGAGCCTCAGGCTGGTGATCTCTTGGACACGCACCCTGTCCAGCAAATCAAGAAGCAAGAGCAGCCAGGAAAGCGTACGGTCTCAACCACTACCGACTGCTAAAAGTGTCTTGGGCTTCTGATCCGTGCGACTGGCCTGCTGGGGATGATGACGTCCGCATCACCTGCGCCTGCGCCTCCCGCACTCGGGGCCTCTGCCAGCAGAATACGAGAGACGAGAACTGTCTTTTAGAAGCCTGCGCGCCTGCGGATTGTCCATCCCAGACAATGACATGATGGCTCCACAGCGTGTCTAATATTTACTGATTATACTGTACACTCTGAAAAACCTGCATTTCTGTGAGAGAGGAAGACGTCGGATCAATGACTCTGCGTTCTGCATCTCTCTTTGATGACAGCTGGCACCATGAATATCCCAGCTGGAGCACGGGAACATGTTTCTACAAGGCCAGATGCCATAGGAGCTGGAGTCTGCAAGAACCGCACACAAGATGTAAGCACCTCATTTTGCTCCAGTGCCGGCCCCGATCTGCTCGCACATTTCTGCAAGTTGACCGGCGGGTGATCTGCGAGCGATGTCGAAACCCACGGGGTCACCGGGCAGCCTTGGCAGCTTTTCGTTCCTGCCGCGACCGCAACATCTTACAAGTCTTCACGATCCACAGCAAGTCCTCCACAAGCCGCTTCGTCTCATCATCATGCTCTTTCCGAACACAGGTGTTGAATCTGCCAGCCAAGCATAGAGGGAGAAAGCCTTTAGGTTCATCCAAACTCCGCAAGAGAGGGAAAGTGCAAAAGCCAAGTGCCCACTTTTGTGGACTGTGTGAGCCTCGTCTGCCTGACCCGATCCACTTCACCTGGTTCCAAAGGATCTTCCGCATAGACCTCAAGAAAAGAACCATATACCCGCCCGCACGAATAGTTGCAGAAGAGGGTTTGATCGTGTTACTTGCGACGGTTCCGTCCAGAACTCCTTCCCAAACCCACAGTTTGTGCTACAAAGCCCTAAACACTTAGATCTGCACCTTGTGCAAGGTCAAGTATGCTCAGGCGAGTAGGGATCGGCACGGAGGACCGGATAGCAAGCATAGACACCATGGGAAAACGAGAGCGCTTGCACCCAAGAAATATCGACAGAAATTATGCACCATGAATGCATGCATTCCTTCATATGGTAACGAATGTTGACGGTAGAAACATCACGTCCATAAATCCACAAAGACTCAATCATGCATCCATTCATCTTTCAATCCGCTTGTGTATGAATACAAATAATATTCATCCAGACATCCATACATCCATCCCTCCCTCCTTCCCTCCCTCCCTCCCTCCATCAATCCACCCGGAACTCCAAAGAGTCTTCTGGAGACGTTCCAGAAACTACATTGAGCCGGTCAGTATGCTATCCCCAAAGTACTGGCGGATTCAGGAGCATGTCCAGCGTTCTTTCCCCCAACTGCCGGCGGATTCAGGAGCCAAATGGTTTCCCCAAAGTACGGGCGGAATCAGGGAGCAGTGCCAACACCCCCAAGTGCTGGCAGATTCAGAGGCACAACCCAAACGATGTTCCCAAATACTGGCAGACTCAAGAGCACACCGGTGCTGCTATGACACGCCGTGAACACTGAGAGGTTTGCAAATTCGAGAAGCACGAGCGCCGAATGGTGTGTTGTCATGTACAAGCGATCGTTGCGACCCAAAGAAATTGTCGGAGATATCGCGTCCAGCAAGAGGATTGCAAACTCGAGAAGCACGGGCGCCGCATGCGCTGCTGTTGGCATTTAGAGCGGGATCGCGCCGATCACAAGAATCGGAGATACACGTCCACCGAGAGGGTTGCAAACTCGGGAAGCGTGAACGCCACGTGTGTTGGAATTTGCAATGGATCGCGCCAGCACACGCGCAGCGTCTACCGCCAGCGTGTTAGCATCCCGATTGCAGATCCGCCCAACTGCATCCATCGAGAGGGTTGTCACTCCCGGAGCAGTACGCGGCGCATCTGGTGGAAATTATAGTGGATCTGCATGCGGAAACACGAAAGTAGAGCTTCCGCCTATGTCCAGCAGATTCAGCATCGCGTCCAAAATCCTTCCCCCTTTTGTCTGGCACACAATTCAAATGCCGCAGGCAGAAAGTCGCGGCACCACACACGCCGCGCAGCCCCATTTCGCATGGCGACGCCGCCCGAACACACCGTTAACATCTGTCAAACAATGTCCCCAATAATATCCCACTGACAACAGAGTGCAGCTACTACCGTATTGGAGTCACACATACATCTAAGAGGGAACATGTCGCTTGTGACACTATCCTGAGCCGCTGTCGGTGCTTCCATCGATTATTGTTGTTCGGGCCAATGCGTGTGGTGTCGCTGCGCGATTGGCTCACGAAGGGTGCAAAGTCTTACAAATTATGTTTGTGATGCCCAGATGTTTCCTGGGCTGGTTGTGCCGCAGTATCTGTACCAGAATAATGGTCCCTGCCAGTCATCCACACCAACAAGCATGACGGTGCCAAGACAGCCGAATGAAGTGCGAGGGCTTCTTGTTGCTCTGCACAGAACAAAAACCCATACCTCCAACTCCAGTGCAGTCGACAACCCGAGACGAGGACTTCTGCATAGCACGCATCAGAAACACACTTGCTGATGCAGTCGTCATTTTCGTCTGGATGGAACCTGACAGGCAAGGCTCAAAGCGATATCCAAGGCTGTTGTCAACATCTCTGCTTTCCCGCTGTACGACGGGTTCAAGACGGCCCTGTGATCATGCTACTCATTCAAGAAACCAAAATCGAACATCCCTACAGGAAAGCTGCTTGCTACCAAGCAGCCCGGCGCAAGGCCCCTTTGCACATTCGCCCTCCTTCTTCCAATGAACCTGGCTGACTGGGGGACGGCATAGATGGTTGAAACGACATGGTAGCAAGCTGACAGCACCCCGTCATGAGCTGGAAATAGTCAAATCCGAAACGTAGGTAAGGATCCTCGCCAACCAACATCCAACAATGATAGGCTGTGGACCATCTGTCAAACACCAACTTACACCACATCATTGAGCACGGCTCAACCGAACAATTGCGCAAGAACCCTCGGCAGGTGCCTTCGAGGTATGCTGCGGATACTTCTTCGGCTTGGCCTCTGCAAATGCCGATGCCTGGTCAAGATGCAGCTCGAAGCATCCAAAACTGTTGTGGTTGATTGGGGATCCTTCCGTGGACAAGAGCAACCATGGTCAACATGACCGACCACTCATGTGCCTAGCATGCATGCAGGCAGACCGGCAGGCAGGCAAGCAAGCAGGCAGGCATGCATATATGTAATTATGTATGCATGTCCATTATAGTGTATGTAGATTTGCGTATCTGCATATATGTACATATCTAAATATATGTATATATGTACCTGCTTATCTGTATACATGCGTATATGTATGTGTATGTGTGTATATATATATATATATATCTGTATATATATATATATATATAAGTATAGGAGAGAGCTATCAGCAGCTGTAATGCGACAGTACATACAGCCGACACTCCACCAGCGCAAGCAGGCCGAGACCAGTGCTGGCAGCACGTACGCCATGGCTCAGGGATTTCTGCCCACAGCCGGCACCCCAAGGCCACCGCAGACACCACATGCAAAACGGGCCCCGGGTTCTTCGCTGAAGGGTGGCTGTTGGAGCACAAGGGGCTCCAGGTTGGCAAGCTCCACAAGTTGATCCGGATAATGCAGACTCACCAGCTGGATTGCCTGGCCCTCACACTCAGATGAAGCATGATCGAGGGGTACATGCTAACACACAGTGCGGAAGACGTTTTGGATGCGCACATGGCACCCCCGGGCAGAACTTGACGGGGGTGTCCATGATTACCTCGCTTCGGATAACACTGCACGTATTGGGCGTGTCTCATGTGGTTTACGCAACCATCTGAACACGAAATCCCTGAAAATTCTGAACCGATCTCGGCGACCTCCTCGTCAGCCAGCCCTCCAGCTCACACCTTCTTTTGGGGTTGGTGACTTTGGCGTCCAACAGGGGGTGCCGGCCCACATGAAGCTTTTTGTTGCTGATCAGCACACACCCTACCAGGACGATGACCACCCCCACCACCTGGCGGCATAGCGAAAACACTTCCACACCCAGCGCACATTAGCCAACGATGGGGCCCACTGCGACATACTCCGACACTCACTTCACGGCTGCATGCCCGCACAGGTGCCCAGACCCAAGCGACACTGTTCCAAGACCAGAGCCCGGCTGCACAAAAACGCGAGGGCCACAGCACCAACCACAAACATAATAAGCATGTCATCAATATAACAACAAGTGCTTTCACACAGATAGCATAGATCCCTCAAGGCCAACTTTTCCAACTGCTTTCGCTTTGGTGGCGTTTTCTGCGATTTGACTCTCTCGAAGTCTGAGCGGTTTCCATCGATGTAGACCTTCATCTATTACAGAAATGGTCTATCGATGTATCGGAGGACCGACCGTTTCCCGGTCGGGTCTCGCAGAAAGCAAGCAGAGGAAAATATGAGTGAAACCAGGGTTAGGGAGGGTGGGAAAAGAAAATGTTCGATAACGAACTTGTGCCAAATGGCAACGGATATGTAGAGTTCGCATTTGATCGGATTCAGCAGATCCACTCATGATCCGATCGGTGAATTGATGAAAGCATGGAGTTGTCACTTCGCACACAAGTGTGCTACACATCAAGCTTTACTGTTTCAGGAAGGACAAGCGGCAATGGTTTAAGAACAAGATTGCCGAGACGCCTTCATCTGCTCTCAGTGAAGCTAACGGGGCTGTCAAAGTGAAATTCACTCATTCGCGTTGTGTGTTAATTCCCCTCCGTTCTTGCAGTGCTTGCATACGTACATATATATATATATATATATGTATACATACTCTCTATAACCATATGTGTATCTGGGTACATAGATAGTGTGGCTCAGTGGCTCCTTTGCAGCAAAAACGCTTACACGGCTCGGAAAAATTACAGTACTCTCGATTCCTGTGAGTGAAGGGCAAATGAAGGCAAAAGCGACTATCTATCCATGTTCCACTGATCACTCTGTTTCTCTTTCTCAATCATCTGACACATCTGTTTGCGTTTTTGCTTTCAGTAGTTTGGGGGTGGTAAAAAGAGGAGCCCACCGGCCGCCAGGATGCCGGAAGTCGGTCCTCGGGACGTTGGGTGGAAGAAAAAACAAGCAGGTGGAAGCGGCTGCATCCGTTTTGGCTGAGGCAGAGCAGCAGGAGTGCAGACATGGCAGTATTATGTGATAGATAAAAAAAAGGGTAGTTGTCAAAATTAGGGTCC